TACTGCTCTTATAATGAAAAAAGAAAAGAAAACCCGCTAGTGCTTAGTTCTGCTGACCTGCAGAAGCTCGGTAAGGATACTGTGCCAGGAATTCTTCTTTCATGGATTGAATTAGTTATATATGAAAACTGTCTGAGGCTTGGCACCCGTTGCTTATCTGTCAAGGAAATCCTAACTATTCAAACTGGAATCGTCAGTTAGAACCTTCTGAAATGCCCAAGTGCCAGTTACTTCTCAGCCTCAGTGAAGTTGAGTGTATGTACAACTGAGAATAAAAGGCCAGAGTAGCAATAGCTCTGGGGTCGCAGTAAGATCACAACATAACTGAATGCTATGTGCATGTAAATCATTTTAACACAATTGCAATAGGTTAGATAACCAGAATAAGGAGAGCAATTTGAACATGAAGCTATTTTAGCACATAATCTACAGGCATCGCATACAGATTCACTCACCGGACTTTCATGATTCTGAGCAAATATCAGAGTGACCAGAGGGCATAAGCTGACATCTGAAAGATTGTAGTATGTATTGGCAGCACAGAAACAGTGTCTCAAGAGTTACACCATAAAGAACTAAAAGAACAGAAAAAGAAATGGAGAGATCACATGTAAATACAAAACTACAACCTATATGCAGTAGCAACCAAAATCTCATTCTTGTGACACCTGAAGATAGACCATTTGAGTGTAACCGTTGAATACAGATGCCTCCAGTCTAGATAAGCCAAGCCTCCGAAACAAGCCATATCTGCCGTCTTCAACAATAGGACTTGATGCACGAGCCGGATCATATCTCGTCTGATGAGTTAATGAAGGACCAGCCACAGGAGGAAGCTCCCAATAAACATCTAACACTGACTCTACAAACCTGCTATTTTTAAAATGTTCTGAATAAGAAATGGCTTTATTGCTGTGGTTAAAATCATCCCGCATCTTCCCTTTCACTCCCCACCAAGCTTCACCAGGACCACAAAGTTCCTCAATATCAACGGACTTCTCCCAGAACTTCTTCCTTCTTGCTCTGATCCTTGCTTCATCACTGTCCTTAAAGCAGCTATGGCCTCCACCTGTAAATGAAATGGAAAATGTATCACGTATTAAGAAGTGAACTAACCATAAAAGTCAGTGAATATTTCACAAACGGAAAAATATGTCTAAAGTGAATTGTATTCATCGTTTTCTTCCTTTCATTTTTACATATTTCTCTTTTGTTTACCCTGGTTGTCCAATCTCATAATCAACATAAACTGATTCTTTATAACTGCATGTGATAAAGGCGGCTAAACAATTGTCTTTACTTGGTTAGACAGCTAAGCAAACAAAAGACTTCATGATACAGGATAAAACATATTTGAAGACAAAGCATGTAACTCTCTGTTCCAAATAGAAGATTCACCAAAGTTAGAAGGATCATGTTGTCCGATCATGTTGCGAGCGCAGCACCATATGTTACTTGGGTAGTTCTTTATCAACTACCAACAAAATTTTCATTTCTTCCTTAGTGGGACAAGTTTCATTGCCAACAAAGCAGCAAAAATAGTTAAAACAAAAAGAGGACAAAGATAGTTCCATTTGGCTGCAGAATTATCCCAAAATGATAATATATAGCATACCTTCTATTCTTTTATTTTCTCCGCGCTTGACTAAAAATCAACTGTCTGTCTCATTCCTTCCTAGAGCTAGCTGCACTGTACTCTGCTAACTCTACATAATCTTGCTTGCCCTACCAATCTTTTCTCCAGTATAGATAAAGGAAAGAGCATGGCTATTCCCTTCTCTGACTCTGTTACGCTTGACAAATCTTGATTTGACTTCAATGTCCTATATAATCATGATTCAATCCAACTTTTGAATTCTCTTGTTGGTATCACTGAGTTAATTGACCTTCTAATATTTTTGGATTTTCTGGTAGGAATCACTTAGTTATTGACAAATTTCATATCCTCTAAAATTTATCAACATCCTTAAGTTTTGCATTGCAAATTCCTTTTGAGAGAAACATCAGTTATAATACTCCATTCAGGTTTTCATGGGCGAAAACTACTTCTGCACATGATTTCAATGTATTTTTTCCTTTTTTTTTTTTTTTTTTTTTTTCTTTTTTTTTTTTTTTTTTTTGAACAAGGTAACAGATAATTTCAATGTATTTGTTCTTTCACATACAAGGTCAACAAATGTGAAGAAGATTTCCAAATACAAGGTTGAATCAGCTCCAAAAGGGGAAAAAGAGAGTCAGAATAAAGAATGGCTGCTTTGGCCTTGACAGAGGAAAGATAATTATTTAAAGTTGAAATGAAAATATACCTCTTATATAAAATTGATCACACATCTGCCTGAAGGAATAGTGATCTCCAGTACCAGTATCATAATTGTCCTCAAACAAAAGATGCCTGAACCCAGCTTTAAGTGCTTGCTTCAGTCTGTCGATCAAAGTTCAAATCCAAACAAAAGAGAGAGTGAGTCAAAAATTTGCAAAAACAAGTGGCAACTGGCAAAGCCATAGAATCAGTGGATGCAGCAATGGAATAGATAATAATTAAACAGAACAGCGACGGAAGGAATTACTATTTTAAGAAACCCACAATAGAGAACTTCCATGTTACAAAAGTTTATATTACCTTTTCAATTCATTTTGATGGTCATCAAAAAAGACAAGAACATGGCTAAGATCCTTGACTCCGTGTTTCTTCATAACTTTTCTCCAATCTACGCTTCCAAAATCAACAAAGTCTTTTCCAGCATAGTATGTGCAGTTGCCATCAACATAAGCAGGTCCTTTCTTGAGATACTTCTCAGGATGACGGGGTGTAAGTGAGATGATTGGTGTATCTGGCATTGCTTGTCTCAAAACCCAAGTTGAGTGTCCTTTGAATGCACCACTCTCAATCATCAATTCTGGTTTTAACCACCGAGTCATAAACCAGAGCCCAAAGCTGTGGTCAAAACCCATCCCATACATGTTATTCTTAATAGGTCGTGTCTCATATATGGGCACAAACTCCTCCAGACCTTTGATTAAATCCTTTGTGGTCCATTCAACAGTTTTTCCATGTTTCGATCTGCCTTTTGACAAGAGTTAAAATTAATTAAAGGTGCATTGGATCATGTGAATTTCATTGCTCAACAACTGAATTGAATATTCAAATAGATATAACTGGTTTTCACTCAACATCTCCCTTATCCAGAAAAGGAAAATGACATCAGTGTAGATGAAATATAAAATGCACACACACAGGCACTCGTGTAAACAGTTGTTTCATTTGTTGACCATAGGTCTAAAGTGCAGCTTAAGACATTATTTGGTAAAATAACTTCATGATGATAAACCATTTTAGCTCCGCTTGGGATTAAATATATTAGCCTGAAACTACTAGAAAGCCAATTCGTTCAGTTTATGCCACACACTATGAAGCTCACTATTATCAACTATAAAAGAACACTAAAGTTAGGAGGCTATAATTAATCCATTTTATGCCACACTCTGAATCTTTTAAATGACCATCAATCAATGAATACTAAGTGAATGAGGATATATACAAAGTAAATGTGGATAGCATTTTCAATTATTAAAATGCCTTGAAATTAGATGTACAATTGAATTCATTAACTGATCAGCCGAAAAAAAATAATACATTCAAACGCAATTCTCAATTTAAAAAATAAACCAGATCTGGATAGACACTAAAATGGGAAAGGGAGCTTACACCAGGGAACGCCGAGAGATCCGAAGTCGGTTTCAAGGCCATCAAAGCCGAAGAATCGCAAACGAGAAATGTGATCGGAAGAGGAAGCTGAGATACACACTAAATCACGAGTGTGATAAACGAAAGAAGTGAGCACAATGATTACGAGCCCTATGAGAAGGCATGGCCAGAGGTGGCCGGTTCGAATCAAGTAATTCGTGATCCTCGTCGGTACGGAAATGTGCTTTCGTGTTTTGGATTCGTCGCCGTCGTCATCGCCGTCGTCACTGAACGGCGCCGCCCTCCGAGAAGAGAGCACCCTTTCTAGCATCGTCCTCGTTTGTGCTTTCGCCTCCTACTCTACTCTCACTCTATGCTTCTTCTCTGTTGTGTAAAGAAAAGTTTTTAATTTGCTGGAGACGGACTTTGGATTAGTACTCCGATTCAGTTGAGAGTGGCGGATGGAGAGAGCTTTAGTTGGAAAATTATACTTTGACCACTCAACTTTACATGTAATTCACAATGCCCCTATATTATGTTTAGTAGTATTTTTCACTTTCTAAGTCTTTTCATAATGCTACATTGGTCCATCTAGCCAAGCATGAATATGTATACTCTGCCGAAAATTAATGATCACGACATGATTAATTTAGGACTTTTAATGTAAAAGATGTATTAAATTGACTTTACCATAAGTTAACGAGAAAAGAAAAAATAAATAATGTTTTGGATATACAAAAAATATCATATTCTTTTATCGAAAAGATATTAATAATGTGCCTAGAGTATAATTGTATGGTACCCTTTATTATTTTTTTCATTTTTTTTCTTCTTTTTTTCTCATCTCACTATATATCGGTGAAACACATGGATCTTGTTAATAAGCTATTAACTATTATTCTTTTGGGACAGAGTACGGAGATAAATAATCACACTTATATTTAACTATCAACATTGATATCATTTATGATAGAATATAAGTTTTATACATTAATAACGTAGAGACCACAAAATTATATTTAAAAAGTAATTACATAAAAATCCATCATAATCAACTAATGTATTATTACAAGTTAAAATTTTATATTATCAAGGTATATAACTTAAATCATTGTACTGCTTCAATGAATTGTAACTGAAATAAAATGGACATAGCCAAGCAATTGTCTACTGAACCCAAACGGACTCTACGGGATGGAAATTGGAAAGATCGCCATTTGATTTTCATCTATTTTGGGACTTAAGGGACAATTAGAGAAAAGTTACCGAACCAAAGTAGAAACTGCTATACTACGAAAATTCTCATTTATATCCACGTGTACCAGACCCCCAAAAAATAGATAAATTCCTTCAGCCGGAGATTTATTAACAGCGTCACCGCCGTCGGACGATAGACGAATGACAGCTTGCAGCTGCAGGTCCTTTTTAAGGTGGCCACTTACCAATTACCAACATTTACAGGTACAACGGTCTCTATTTTTCTCAGAATCGTTTAGTCAAAAATCAAAATATTATAAAAAGTTTTGAAAAGAAATCAAAATTGTAACTCGAACATGTGTTTTGTGCCTATAGTCAAAATCCGAAGATGTATGAACACGTGTCAAATAATATTATTTACATATTTCACTGGGGTAATCTAACTGTTGCAGAGATGTTTTTCTTCTTGCGGTTTTAAATATAACTTGGGGAAGCATATTGAAGGAGTTTTGCGTGTTGCCATGGACCGGAAAAAGCAGAAAATGGTTGCCAAAACATGGAGACATGTTTCTACTCAATCAAGGTCTAATGAAGGTGAGTGTTTCTCACTTCTTAATATTTGATTGAATTGGATCAGTGGTTCTAGGTTGTTAAGCTTTCTGTACTTTCATGTTATCCAAATAATTCAAAGATGATAGTGTTAAATCAGGATATATAGTTATAAAGCAGTTGTAGATTTTTAGGTATCTGATATTCTGTAGAATACACTGTAAAAGATTAATGTTGAAAGTTCTAGGTGATGAGAAGCATAACATTGGAGGTCAAGTGCAAGAAGTTAAATGCACCGTCTCTTCCTATGAGTCAACAGTTTTGGCAGAGGACAGTGGAGCTGAAGTAGTAAATGATGATGAACCACTTTCAGCAGCTCAGAAGCATTCAGTTACATTCGAGGTAATTTTTTTTGGTTGCTTGTAGGCAGAGGCGGATCCAGGATTTAAACTCTATGGGTTCAGCCATTAAGATTCTTATCATTGAACCAGTTGTGTCTTTAAAATTATGGGTTCATATCTACTTTTTGTTGTAATATTAGTGAATTTTTACACATAAATTATGCTTCGCATCGGAAGCTATGGGTTCAGTTGAACTCGGTGTTAGAAGGCTAGATCGGCCTCTGCTTTTAGGTACTGCTGCCCTTGATAATTCGACTAGCTTTTTATGAGTTTTGGCTATTGTCTTTACATGATCTTCACTTTGAGCTCATGGCACTTGTTATGGACGATTTTCATCATAAAATTTAGAGGTCTCCCAATAAAATTGCATCCGATTTTTTCCTACCACTCTCATCTAATTTCCAAACATACCTGCAGGCAGGGGCTTCCTTGATGCGTTTCATCAGAGGGAAAGGGTATGACTTTGTGTGTATTCTTGCTTACCAAAAAACGAGGGGCTGATATGTTGCTTTGATATTTTGCATATAGAGGTGCAACACAGAGGACAATTGAAAAGGAAATGGGAGTTCAAATCATACTTCCATTATCGCGGAAAGAGGATTGTCTAAGTGGGTTGCTTTTTTATTTCTGGCTTATTTTGATTGATTCAGCTTTTTTGCATTTGATTTAGTCGTTCAATTCAATCTAATGATATGGTTAACCTGAATTTCGCTTCTGAAATGTACTGTATGATTTCTATGACCTACTTATGTTGTTCCTGGACCTGGGTATATTAGTTGATCATTCAACTACCTTAGATGAACTATATATTCTGCTCTATTTGGGCAATTTCATTCTAGGCTGTCTTTTAACACACCTTAGAGATTCTTTATAACTGAAAACTCTCTAAATATCAGACTTATCCTAATGCGACCTAATGTAGGGGTAGCAACAATGATTAATGCGTATATACGCTAGTTCGTATCGGCTGTATAGATCCTATGTTTTGTGTTCTATTCTTAGCTACTGCATTGATTTTTAGAGATCATAGATCTTTTGAGATAACCTTCCTTGATGTGATTTTAGATCTATAAGCACTTTCAATCGCCATAGTGTTGCACCTACGAAGTAGTGCATTCGGATGTCTATGTACTGAAGCAAAACCATCTTAGGCCTCATTTGTTTTCTTATGATTAAGACGTCTAAATCTGAATACACATCTGAATATCAAGATGTGTCTGAATATCACGATGTGTATTAAGATTAAGACATCTGAATCTGAATACACATCTGAATATCAAGATGTGCATTAAGATCTGAATACTAAATGATTAAGATTGTTTGATTTTTAATATCTGAATGTTAAAATTTATCTTTATTTGAAAATTAATAAACATAAAATTCAAATAAAATACTAATTAATCTAATATTCTATGGTAGTTGCTGATGGTGATGGCTAACGCTGGTGCTTGTGAATGCCGACTAGATGCAACGGTTGGTGATAGTTTTGGTTGATGGTGGTGGTTCAAGGTAGTAGCTGGTGGTAAATGGTAGTGATGGCTATTACTAGTGAGGATGGTGGTGGTGGGTGGTGATAGCTAGTAATGGCGGGCGGTGGAGGTAGTTGTGATTGAGGAAGGCGGTGGTGGGTGGTGGTAGTTTATAATGGGCAGTGCCGGCTATGATTGTTGATGGTGATGGGGTGGTTAGTTGTGGTAGTTGAGGTGGATGATGAGTGTTGGTTGTGGTTGAAAATGATAGTGGTGGGAGTGGTGGGGATGGTGGGTGGTGAGAGTCGATAATGGCGGCTATGATTGGGGATGATGATGGTGGTGGTGGTGGGTGGCATGGTGGTAGTTGATAATGGTTGGCGGTGGCGGCAGTCCATAATGAATGTGGATGGTAGGATCCTAATGAAATTAAGTCTCTGTTATAGATCTTAATCATACAAACCTATTCAGACCCATTAAAATGGTTGTGAAGTTAAAAAAATAAATACACTTAATAATTAAGATCTGAATAATTAAGATTCAGACTTAAAAACAAATGCACTTAATGTCTGAGATCTGAATAATTAAGATTCAAACCTCCATTGAGTGCAAACAAATGAGGCCTTAGTTACCCTTCTCTCATTTATTCTTTACGTGGATTGCTTGTATCTTCTGTCTGATGCAGTTATTTGTAATCCTAATATTTGGTGATACTACAGTTTTTTCTGTTCCGAAAATTCCAAGCTCAAGTCCATTCGTATCTGCTACCACAGTTTGTTTGACCCAAAATTTTGGAAGCATGCTGTGATAATGTGCTTTGCTCTTTTCTTGTCATTGGTTGTGGTGATTGGCTTTTGGTCTCTCCTTTGTGATGTATTATTCTCAGTAAATCTCCTAAATGGAGTTGGTGTCCACTTTTCTTAATGTTTTTGGTACTTGTAACTTCCACCATAACTTGTTTCTTTCAGAGTGATTGGACCTTTTTAAATTGTTTTTGTATTGATCTATACTGAATATGGGGTCAGTACGTCAGTATTGAAATCCAAAATGTCTATGTTTGATTTTTCCCCCTATTTTTTAATATAGTGTTACATATTGCAGTCATAGAAGGAAATTCTGCTGAAAGTGTGGCAAGAGCATCAGATAGAGTCCAAGCCATAATTGATGAGGTTAGCACCAACATTTAATTTTGTCCGTGCTAGCAGTCAAATAAGGAAAAAAGAAATAGCATTGCATATTTGTCAACTTCTCTTGAGCTTGTACCTATAAACTCTGGTAACATGTTTGTATCTGTTTTTGCTCAAAGATTTTAATTTTGATTCTCTTACTTTTACTTCTAAATGTTCATGCTATGATGATTTTTGATGAAGTTTAGCTGATGCATTATGGCACGAACGCAAAATACACATAAGATATCTTACCGTATGTCATCCAGTGTCATTTCTTGCAACTCTTAAGAGCCTTTTCCTGTTTAAAGTTTGTCCAGTTATCACTTGGTTTTGACCTTGAACCTTCACATTTGAAGTTGCTTTTTTGATTACCCCTCTCTCTCTCTCTCTCTCTCAACTGAAACTAACGTATTAACTGTCTACTGGAACTCTTAGCTTTCCTGGCACTTTCAAAATGATTAATAATTCAGAACTTTGAAATAACATTCTTGTCTAATTTTATTTTATCTGTTAAGCAGATTTTTATAAAATGCTCAAGTGTGATTCATTATACTTGCTTGTGTTATGAGGAATCTTGCTCAAGAGTGATTCGTCATTCTTGCTTGTGTCATGAGGAATCTTACTATTTTCTTCATCTCAATTTTGATTGCATTGTGCTCATAAGTGTTATTTGCGCGTCTTTTTCTGTAGGCAGTTAAAAGCCGGAATCTTGACTACTCTCACTTTGTATCACTTCCATTGGCCATACACCCTGAACTGGTCAAGAAGCTCATCAACTTTCAGAACTCGATTCTTGGAATTACCGAAGTTAATCAAGATGAAAATTTGGAATGTGATTCAAGTGGTAACACTTCTGATTCGGAAGGTGAGGAGCAGGACTTGAGTAAACCACGGGTTGCAGTGGAAGTCAAGACTGAAGATTCTAATGATCATGTTAAAGTGGATATAACCAACATGCCACTCGTGAGTTACTCGCCTAAAGTGTCCAAGTCCTCTATTTCAGAATCAAAGGCTTCTAAACTGTTAGGTATAAGATCTATGTATTATGTTACTTTTTTCAAAAGATGAAGAGAGAAAAAGGATTCATGTACTATGTTGTAAAAGATTTCTGTGGTGAAAATTCTTATCTCTGCATTTCCTTCGTATGTTTATGATAAAATCTATCCCTATCTTTCAACCTAGATCAGGAGCTCATTGCTTCCTTCTTTATGTCTTAATCCCTAACAAAATTAATGAATGTTTTCCACTCAACAGGTTTGGAAATTGAGAAGTCCATCTTTATTAATCCAAAAACATTCCACTTGACTGTGCTCATGCTGAAGCTTTGGAATAAGGACCGAATTGAAGCTGCTTCTGAGGTTTTGCGGGTAAATTTCCAATTAGATGGCCATTTTCTTCCTTTGTAATATCTTTTTCTCTGTCTAACTCTTCAAAATAAAAAATTGCGCTTCCTATTGTGTTTCCAGACTGTCTCACCAAAAGTAATTGATGCTTTGGAGAGCCAACCCGTGTCTATAAGACTGAAGGGTTTGGTAAGTCTTTATTCAAGTTATACAATTATGGACTTCAGGCTGCTATAGGTGACAACCATTGCACTTAATCTTTATGATCCTTCTTTTTCAAGTTTACTCATTATAATCTTTCACTTGTCTGTGAACATAAGGTAATGAACTCAGTAAGGTGTTACTGGAATATTTTATTGTCCTAGGTGGCTAGGTTATATCATCTCTTAAGCGGAGCTAATTTTATTTGTACACTGAGCTGGTTAGCATGACAGTTTAACTGGCATGGTAACCCTTTCCTTGAACTTTGACTGTGGAATTTGCTTTATCTGCTTGCTATCAATCTCTGGGTGAATCTTCTGTTACTAATTGGCATAAGAAATATAGGTTAACACCAAGAAGTGGGTAACCTATTATTGATTGGCATAAAAAGTTTAGACTAGCGTCTGTAGAAACCCTTAAACCTTTACTGAAGTTTCAAGTAAGTCCTGTTTAAAAATATCATTCACGGCATGATAAGAAAGGCGGCGAGAGAGGTGCTAGGGGTCTCGAAGGGTTACTAATGGCGGACACCAAGGCGACTGGTGGTGGAATGATGTGGTCCAAGGTAAAGTGGAAGCAAAGAAAGCAGCATATCTTAGGTTAGTGAAGAGCACAAACGAGGAAGAGAGGAGAGTGAATAGAGGAAGATATAAGAAAGCCAGGAAGGAGGCGAAGTTAGCGGTCACGGAGGCTAAGGATGCAGCGTTTGGTCGTCTGTACAATGAGTTGGGGGACAAAGGAGGGGAGAAGAAGCTATTTCGGCTGGCCAAGGCTAGAGAGAGGAAGGCTCGTGACCTGGATCAAGTGAGGTGCATCAAGGACGAGGAAGGCAGAGTATTGACGAAAGATGCCCAGATTAAGCGGAGATGGCAGGATTACTTCTATCGGCTTATGAATGAAGAAGGGGACATAGACATTGTGCTAGGGGAATTGGGTCACTCCGGGAGTCACCAAGACTTTAGGTATTGTAGGCGTATTAAGGTTGAGGAGGTCGTGGGAGCTATGCGCAAGATGAGTAGAGGCCAAGCGACCGGGCCGGACGAAATTCCGGTGGAATTGTGGAGGTGTGTGGGTAGAGCAGGCTTGGAATGGTTGACTGCGCTATTTAATGTTATCTTCAGGACGAAGAGGATGCCAGATGAATAGAGGTGGAGTACGATGATACCGCTGTTCAAGAACAAATGTGACATCCAGAATTATAACAACTATAGAGGCATCAAGTTACTAAGTCATACCATGAAAGTTTGGGAGAGGGTGGTGGAAGGAAGCGTAAGGAGGGCAATGTCTATATCCGACAACCAATTCGGATTCATGCCGGGTCCGTCTACTACGGAAGCTGTCCACCTTATAAGGAGGTTGGTGGCACAGTACAAGGATAGGAAAAAAGATTTGCACATGGTGTTTATTGACCTAGAGAAAGCGTATAACAAGGTTCCTAGGGAGATTCTTTGGAGATGCCTGGAGGGGAAAGATGTGCCGGTAGTTTACATTAGGGTATTAAAAGACATGTATGAGGGAGTTAAGACTCGGGTTAGGACTGTGGAAGGTGACTCGGAGCACTTTTTGGTTGTTATGGGGTTGCACCAAGGGTTTGCACTCAGCCCGTTCTTATTTGCCCTGGTGATGGATGCGCTAACACACCATATTCAAGGGGA